ACCGAGCTTTCCTGCGAGGGCGAAGCTGTCTGTYTGAGGGAGGGACCACAGTCCGGGTGGGAGGGGCAGGTCGTGAAGGTCCCTGAGCTAACCTTTGTCGCTCGTAGGAGGGTCCTGTGATCGTCGGCCCGGGAAGTCGTCGCTCTTAGCTGGTGTATATGTTTCCAGCTTCGAGGCGTGAAAGACTGGATGGACTGTCCAGATGCGCCGGGATGTTGATCACAAATGAAGGGTCATCGGGCTCATCCCTCGCGGCTGATGTTACGGGCCATGGTCCAAACCACTTGGGAAGCAGTTTGCGTGAAACATCTTGTTCCAGTGCAAACTCTTCCGCGGAGACCCAAACCAGATCACCGACGCGGATGGGACATGGCACGCGACGCCTGTTGGCTTGCTGCTGCATGCGGACTTGAGCCTTTTGCATGTTCGCGCGGGCTTGAGCCAACAATTCCCTGTACTTCCGGACGGAAGCGGGAGAGCAAGCGGCGTCGATATCGGCTGGTCGTGGGAGGAGAAGGTCGGCGAAGATACGGCCTTTCCATCCACCATGGTGCAACTCGAATGGAGTCACGCTGATCGCCGGGTGCACCGAAGTGTTGTAGGCGAACTCGATGTCGGGGAGGCGGTCAACCCAATCTTTCTGGTCCGGACGGATGAGCGTACGAAGCATCATTTGAGCGGTTTGATGTGCCCGCTCCGTTTGCCCGTCCGTCTGTGGATGCCGAGCCGAACTTGGTTTCATCTTCGTGCCGGACTCCTGCATGAGAGCAATCCAAAATGCCGACATGAAGCGAGTGTGGCGGTCGCTGACAATGTCTTCCGGTGCACCGTGGCCACAAATCCAAACGGTGTGCAAGAGGCGTGCCAGCTCGGGAGCCGTGGAGTAGTACTTGCAAGGGAAAAAACGCGCATACTTACTCAGGTCCACAACCGTGAGGATGCCGTCGTGCCCGAGGCGATCGTGAGGAAATGGTCCGGTGACATCCATGGCAATGGAGAGGCCGGGTTCCCGTTGGATAGGCATCGGGCGCAACTCGCCGTAGGGGTTGCGATTACGGGGCTTGCTTCGTCGGCAAGAGTCGCAATACCGAGTGACATCGGTAATGAGGTCGGGCCATCGGAATCGTTGTCAAAGCCGTGCAATGGTGCGGTTGACTCCAAAATGGTCGGTGAGTCGCGAGTCATGATACTCACCGAGAAGGCAAGTCTGAAGACGACGGTCTCGTGGGACACAATATAAGTCCTTGCCTCTTGAGTGGAGGAGCAAGTACCCGTCGGCAATGCGATAGTGGCTGGCCGGCGGGTGATCTGAAGATAGTTGCGGATACAACGTGGCAAAGTCCGGATCCGACTCATATCCCCGGATGAAGTGTCGCTGAAGTTCCTTGTCGAATGCGAAGGCATGATGTGTCATAGCGCAAAGATCAGGTCTTCGCGAGAGTGCATCTGCTACGCGATTGGAGAGGCCGGGAAGATGTTTCGGTGTGAAGTCAAATTGGTCGATGAAGTACATCCATCGTCCGATCGTGCTGCTCACCGTATCCTGCGTCTTGTAGTAGGTCAATGGGTTGTTGTCCGTGACCCATTTGAACCTACGACGCCCAAGGAGGAAGTGTCGACATCGCTTGAGAGTCATCACGAACGCGAGCAGCTCCTTCTTCCTTGCATTATCAAGCGAATTGATGGGAGGCACTTTGTGGCTGAAATACTCCACAGGGTGCCAGTCGTCGCCGTCGCGTTGTTCCAAGACTGTCCCAATGCCACAGCCGGAAGCCTGCCAACCCCATGAATGAACGAACGTTCGTGGTGTTGGTGGGCTCGGGCCATACGCGGAGGGCCTCGATCTTGTCCGCAAGCGGACGGATGCCTTGCGGCGTCACATAATGTCCCAAGTACTCCAAGCTTCTGCCGCGCGAATTTGCATTTGTCGCGGTTGGCTTTGTATCTGGCTTGTCGTAGCCGCTCCAAAACGGTGCGCAGGTGTTCCACATGCTCGTCCAAACTCCGGACGTACACCAGGATGTCGTCGAGGTAGATAAGTACGAATCGATCCAGCATGTGTCGGAACTCCGTTGTCATAGCCGCTTGGAAAGTGGCCCGGGCATTCGTAAGGCCAAATGGCATAACCAGCCATTCGAAATGCCCATATCGCGTCTTGAACGCGGTCTTGTAGCGGTCCTCCTTCCGAATCTCGAGTTGGTGATATCCCGACTTGAGGTCCAACTTGGAGAAGAACTTGGCGCCGCCCAGTTGTTCGAGAAGGTCGTCGATGCGTGGGAGAGGGCCGGCGTTTTCGATCGTTTGCGCGTTCAGCTTGCGATAATCGATGCACAACCGCAAATCCTTGTTCTTCTTCCGGACGAAGAGAACAGGAGCACCGTATGGCGATGAGCTAGGCCGAATCCAGCCTTTCTCCAGAAGGTCGTCGAGTTGTGCCCGAAGCACACTTAACTCTTCCTCGCTCATTAGGTAGATGCAACCGTGCGGAGGTACGGCCCCGTCCTCGAGGATGATCTCGTGGCGGATGGGCCGATCCAGTACTACTTCGTGCGGGCCTTCGAACACGTCGCCGTAGGCGTCGAGAAGCTCGGTGATGTGTGGGTCTGAAGATGAGTCCGTCGATGAAGCGTCATGGGGCGGGAGGGCGTGGAGAAAACATACGCCCATCTCCTCGATGTCGTCTCTGATGATGGAAGCTCGCATGCTTGCGGCGGACACCACGTGGCAGCTGATCGAAGGGTGAGGAGGAGCTACCGTGCATGGGACTAGTACTCCGTTCCGATCACGAACGTGAACGGTGCAGTGGTAGAAGTTCACTGGGTGATCCTCGCTTCGCAGCCATGACATGCCCAAGATCATGTCGAATTTGGTGTCCAAGATGTCGAAGGACACCGCCTCGCTTGCATGCGGGGCAAAGTACACGGAGACGTCATCTATGCACCGGTCTATTGACTTGTGCGTGTGACCGTCTGCCAACGTGATTTGCGTCGACTGGGACTTCCTCCGGACGCGTGGGCCAAGGCCGGCGCGTACCATAAAGTCCTGGCAAATGTAGTTGCGAGATGCTCCGCAATCGATCAAAGCGCTGCAGGTCGCCTCTCCGATCTGAATGCGTACATATAACAATAGTGCGTCGATGTCGTCGTACCATTGTGTCTTGAACACGCGGTTGATCTTCGTAATGTAGGCGTGAAGGTCGACAACCTCTACTCCGGCGTCCATCAACAGAGTTGGTACTGCAGTGTGCAAGTAATCCTGCAATTGTGCCATGAGCACGTTGCAATGCGGTTTCGGCAAGCGATCGGACCGGGGAAGGGGCATCCATTGGAAGTCCGCAAATGTCAACGGGTCGAGCTCTTCGAGTCTTGACCATGACATTGAATCCCCGGCGGTAGATGGCGGCGAAGCTGCCGAATCGGTTGTCGATGGTGATGAAACCGTGCATGCGTTAGATTGTTGCACGTGGAGCGGTTGGTCCAACGGTGGCACCAAGTGGACAGCATAGTCCTCGTAAGCATACCGAGAACTTACGACATTCGCATCCTCCCCAGATGTGTAGGAGGTCGCTAGCAAGGCGGCCGAATCTGGCGGAGTGGGAGGTGGAGTCGCCTCACGTCCCGCGGAACTCAGTTTCCCGAGTTGATACGAGGCCGAACATCCTCCTTGCCCTGATCCTGGCAGAGGGAGGTCTTGTGCTTGGTGCTATTGCACCAATAGCAGCAGCCGTAACGGTCGCGGTACTTGTACTCGGCCTCGGTCATGTGAAACTTGACCCATGGTGCTGGCTGTCCGTTTTCGGCCGGCGATGCGGTTTTCGCCTTCCCATTTCCTCGGGACTTGTTGTTGCTTCGCGGCTGGACAACAGCCACCTGATCTCCCTCACATGACGCTTGGGTGGCTGTCGAGTCTTCCACAATGTTGTCCGATTGGACTGCAGCGAACTGCTGCGGTCGCGGATCAGTTTTCACCTTCTCCACATAGGTTGGCTGCCACGTTGACTTCTCGTGTGCAGCCGCCCTGTTGGTCTTGATGATCTCCCTCGCCTTGTCAATGATCTCAGCGAAGGTTGCATACTGCTCGCGATCACCAAGAGCAAGGCTCAATGCCGCACATGACCTGTTGTAGAACTCGCGGTGCAGATCCGAAAATGGCAAGTCGAGACCGGGCGTTGCCGCGATCTTCTGCCATTCCGTGAGCCAGTCACGTGTTGCTGTGTTGCCTTGTGTCATGTTGAAGAGACGGTTGATGGCGAGTGCAGGTGCGTCGTCCACGATGAACCGCTTCTTCCATAGCCGTGTTAACTCTTCCCATGTGATCTTGTCTTTCAGATCTGCGACGTCGACGCCGTGGGTGGATGCCAGGTGGCTTAACCAGGTCTGGCATCCGCCCTTTGAGTTGAGAAACAGGGCGCTGATGTACGCATGCTTGGCGACGAACAGAATCCGCAGTTGCGTCGTAAAGCCTTCCCACCAGAGGACCGGGTCTTGATGCGTGTAGTCATCGAACTTCTGAATTTGGAATGTCGGCATCTTATAATGCGTTGTGCTGTTGCCATCCTTGTTAGGCGGCTGCAGTTGCTGAACCTTGGTCTTCAAGGTGTCCAGCTGTTTGCTGATGGTGGTTGACGCAGTGAAGGTGCTGATGTGGCCGAGCATTGCGACGACGTGGTGGACGCGTTGCTCAAGTTGGCGGGCAGAGGGTGCATTGCTGGACTCGCCAGCCTTCGGTCGTGGTGCAACTTGCTCCAAGTCCTGCATAAGGGAATCAAGTGCCCGTGCTGCATCCCTATGCCGAGCCTTGTGGTTCCGCATGGCCCGCTGCATATTCGCCAGCTCGGACTGCAGGTGGTTACAAGTGTAAACCAACCGAGTCACGAGTTTGGCCATGAATTTCCAGTGCTGCTCCTTCAATGTCGCGTCGTCGTGCTCCTCGGATGGTTCAAAGTGCCAAAACTTGAGCCTTTCGATGCTGGCGGCTTCATGCCGTTGCAGCAGATCCTGGGCTTCATTTCGGCGTGCCTGGGTATCTGCATCTGCTTCGGCCTGAAGCCGCTGCTTCTCAGCTGTTGCCGCTGCTTCAGCCTGTAGGCGGGCAGCCTCGACTGCCAGCTGGCGCTGTTCCTCAGCCTCGATCAGTGCGAGCTGAGTCTGGAACCGCTGTTTGTAGTCGACAATAGATTCGTTGGCCAGTTGGCCTGGCATGCCCAGAGCTGCGCCCGTCATGGTGGTGGGGCACTGCTGACGTGGCACTGTTGCTTACGTGGCACTGCTTATGTGGCATTGCTGACGCGGCACTGCTGACGTGGACCTATGACCTACGTGGCACTGCTGATGTGGCACGGTTGTTGACGTGGCACTGCTGACGTGGCACTGTACCAACTCGGAAATGCATGCAAAGGGTGGGTGGGGAGGGAAAACGCAGGTAGGGAACCAACCCAACAATACTTTCCTCCCGGCCCTAATCAACAGATAAAATAAACAAAAAAAAAAATGAGGACTACTTTTTTTTTTTTTTTTTTTT